GCCCTCACAGAGCAGCAAGGTGAAATTTGTTCTAAAATGACAAATGCTTCTGTATTATAAACACTATTCCAATGTTGCTTTTTAAAATTCATTTAAATAAATGGAAAATTGTATTAAAATCTTTGTTCCAACCTCCCATGTGCACCTTTTTTCAGGCCGATGAGTTGGATGAGGATGATGGAGCTCGACCACTGGCTGAGTCGCTGCTCTTGGCTATAGCCGACCTGCTGTTCTGCCCCGACTTCTCCGTGCACAGCCACAGAAGAAGCCCCGTGAGTTCCCTCTGTCCTGACAATGTCCCTCCCCCTCACACTTATCTCACCATCGGCCATCAAAACACGTTAGAGTTGAGAAATCTGAAAAGTWGTCAAGTTTTTCCTTGACCTCCCTCTCATTACTGGATTTTACGGGTTAGACATATTTATTTATATGAACACAGTTTCCTCCTTCCTGATCTGCAGTTGCCCAACTAACTTGTCACTCAAGTTTTGCTGAARGACCAACTTCTAGCGATAACAAAAGATAACACTTTCTTGGCCCTTAAGAGAAATCCTTTTGTAAATAATGTTGCAAAACAGATAAAAAGATTCAACAACTTATGGATGAAATCACAATATTTACTTTGAAAGTATGTCATTTACTCTAAACTTTTTTTTTGTACCACATCCAGGACTCAGTAGAGAGCATGCAGTCATTAGACAGCTGTGAGTACATCTGGGAGGCAGGAGTTGGATTTGCACAGTCACCCCCTCTTAACTATATCCATGATCTGAATAGGTGAGTTAACGGATTAACAGCAGCTRCAAACATCTGCATAACGTCTATTCTTTTTTTGTCATTCGGATTATTTAAAAATAACGTTTTATTCACTGTCTACCTCTGTGTTTTTTTCACCTTCAGGGCAGAGTTGCTGAGGCTGTTACTCACCTGCTTCTCAGAGGCCATGTACCTGCCTCCATCAACAGACCACAGCGTCCTCAATCCGTGGGTGACCTTCTTCTGCTCCACAGAAAACAGGTAAAGGCTCATTCCCACATCTATAACCAAATATGCACTCATAAACCACTCTGGGCGTCCGATCAAATGTCAAGCAACTGTTTATTTCGTATTGCCAGAAGAAGAAAAACCCMGAATAAGTTATTATTTTTCAGGATCCACACAGAGGGGGGATCATACAAAAGTCATGTGCAAGTTTAACACCAAATATTTAATGAATCATGACATTTTTTTACTTGCATATTCGAAATCACAATCTATTTTTCTGTGAATATAAATTTGTTTTTCATATAATTTGCATTTCTTACTAAAGTTTTATTGTGGTTATTGGAAGAAAATAGCGAGGTAAAAGGCTAAACCCTCATTTCTTGCCAGACAACAGGTTGGACAGGTGAGGCCTGCTGCCATCAAGATAAGGAGCAGAGCAGACAAGCAGTGCACTGTTAGGCTTTGACCAGGTAGCWGCATAGGGGGAACAAAAAAGGTTCATTCAAGGATTTAAGGACATCAAATTCAATTTTTGCTTTGTGCAGTTTTATCAAATCACAAAAATCTTAAAAGTATCATAAATGGTTACAAATCAGTCAATTAAATAGATATGGAATTGAAATTTGGGATTGTTGTAGCTGGAAACCATTCATAACTCATACTGAATGTGGCGTCTACAATTTTACTATTTCTCAAACAAGACGGTCTTAGTTTGGTTTAGTTTTTTTAAATCTACAGATTTATTTTTGTGATTTTCTACAACCCCAATTCCATTGAAGTTGGGACRTTGTGTAAAACCTGAATAAAAACAGAACACAATAAATTGCMTATCCTTTTCAGCATATATTGAGTRTAMACTACAAAGACAAGATTCACTGTTTAAATAGACAAACTTTATTAGATTTTTTTAACATATATTCCCACATTTTGAATTTGATGCCTGCAAYACATTCCAAAAACAGCTGGGACGGGGAAAACAAAAGACTGCGAAMGTTGAGGAATGCTA